TCACCCTTCAGCCAAAGATTAGACAGACCCATAAAACAAAACGAGACTAATGGGGTACAACAGCCCAGGGACAAGGACTAGAAGGCAGGAGGGGACAGGAAAGCTGGTAATAGGGAACCCAAGATCAAGAAAGGAGAGTGCTGACATGTCATGGGGTTGTTAACCAGTGTCATAAAACAATATGTGTACTGTTAATGAGAAACTACTTGTTCTGTAAACCTTCATCTAAAGTGCAATTAAAAAAAAAAAGTATCTCAGTTTCCCTGTTGAGCTTTGAGATGAGTGATTTATTTCAAGCCAGGTTTTACGCTGTTCCCAGGCACACTATTCAGAATTTAGTGGGCCACAGAAAAAAATAATCTTGAAATGTCACTTTTACCACAAAATAAGCCTCATAGTCTCTTGTTATTTACTTTTTGTTGCAGTTTCCTTGTTTTGCCTGGTGTCAGCCCTGCTCTGGGAAGTTTTTTTGTTTTTTTTTTTTGAGGTTGCAAACCCACAGGCCAGGCCCTGGAACAGCTGTGACCTCAGGAAAGTGCCTCCTGTTTGAGTATTCCCTGTAAGTGCCTGCTGCCTTCCCTCTGCTTCCTAATTCATGCCTCCGATATTGCCTTTTTCCAGTTCCCTAAGCTATGTGAAATGCAGAATATTGGGAATGATATCCAGAGTGAAAAATATCCAATCATTTTTCTTCTTACAGTAGTAGGACATTTCTAGTTTTCCATAAATATTAGGTAATTTACTCAAAGCTGTTCTAGTAAAGCTTTTTAAAAAGGCTTTCAGACCTTTCCTGGTAACTGGCATAGAGTTTCAAGAGTTGTTGTTCTAGCCCCTTGAAAAATCTCTAATCTTGGAATGGTATTACCATACCCATGCCTGAAATATAAGTTAACATCTTTATCTACAAATATTTCTTTATGCTCTGCTGCCAATCTTGTTATCTATTCCAGAAATCCCACCCTGTTTTTGCAGCACAGGTCTGATGCTTTTCACATGAGATTGTCCTTCCTGAGCTCTTGCACACCTCGTTTTGTCTGCTTTGAAACTGTTACATGTTTTCTGCCATTTTGAAAGCAAAAGTTTAATTTCATTACTGTTCATTTCTGATGCAGGGCTGCCCAAGGCAGTAGAAAGGGCACAGGATGTCCTGGCACAAGTTCTGGGTTCTGGCCCAGCTATGTCACCGCGAGACCCTGAGCAGGTGAGGCCTTATTCCAGGCCTCAGTTTCCTAGTACTCTTGGGAGAGTCGGAGTGATAATCTGCCATGCTCCTTAGCCTGAAACTTTGGGTCGGATACATTTTATGCGGAGTTCTTGTTCCACACGCATTTGGTTGGATTCCTTTTCTAATTTTTTGTTTTCCTCTTGACTCATCTTGCTGCCCTGAAGGGGTTTACAGCCACCCAGGGTGTCCGAGCAGGCGCGGTGTGGACCCCGGCCTCTCTCGGTTCTAGGGGAACCACAGAGATGCAAGCCCCCTCCGGGGTCCTAGAGAGGATGCCTCGACGGATAGATCGCCGGCCGTACTTCCGGTCTTTGTGTGGCGGAGGGCGGCCTTTAGGGGAGGGTCGTGCTCCTCAGTTTCTTTTCCTGCCCCCGGAGCTCCCAGCGGGAAGGCGTCAGCTCACCTGGCTGCGGCCTCCGGATCCCCAACCCCCTAAGATACGCAGCACCAATCTCGGTGTTTGACCGGCCACGGGGCAGGGAAAGGGCGGCCGCCAGTCCTTAGAGCCCCAGAAAGGCTCCACAACCCGAGCTGCAGGAGAAGTCAGTCCAGGCGCCGCGTCCCTTTTTCTGTCCCGTATTTTTGGTCTTGCCTTTCTTTGTACCACCAGCCGGCGGGGAACTTCCAGAGGGGGGCATCCACGGTTTGACCCCTCATTTCAGACATCCTTCGGGCTAGCCTGGCTGCAGAATCCAGGCCGACCCAGCTCCCTCCCAGTCCATGCTGCTGTCCGTGGAAATTCCTTTTGAAAACGGTTTTTAGAGAATCTATAGATTGTTGAGCTCGAGAACAAATTCTGGATCCCATCTGCTCTTTTATTCATTATTATCCTTCAACGAACAATAATAACCCTAGCGTTGGGCTAGGTATAAGGGAAATGATTTCAGACAAGATTCCTGCCTTTCGCAGAATAGGACACTTTAGCAAGGAACTGACAAGTTGGTTCTTAATATAGTGTGAGATATAAACGATGGAAGGGTAGAGAGATAACAGGTAAAGAGCTGTCGCGGCAGAAATCAGAGACTTGCCAAAGTGGGTGGTATTCGGAGGGGGTAGGAATTGGATCTGTAGAAACGCAGCTCCCCGCCGCGCCCGCATCTAAGAGGAAGAACATTCCAGATACAGCGTGAGCAAAAGTACAAAGGTAAAAAAGTGAAGAGACCTGCAGAGGAGCAGTAAATATTTCAACACCATCCTGATATCCTGATTAATATTTATTCTGTGCTGGGTAAACCAAAAAACCAAATCCGCTGCCATGGAGTGGATTCCAACTCTTAGCGACACATAGGGTTTCCGAGGCTCTAAATCTCTAGAGGCAGACTGCCACATCTTTCTCCCGCGGAGCCAATGGTGGTTTCCAACCGACCTACCTTTGGGTTAGCGGCCAATCGGTTTAACCGCTGTGCTTGGTAGTGGAGAGTAAATAATCTGTGACCCCAAATGCTTTACTGTACAGACTGTTAAATCCCTTTTGCTAAAAAGAATCAAGCCCTTAAAAAAAAAATTAAAAAGCCCTTAGTTTTGTTTCCTGGCATTTAGGGGACACAGTGTAGCAGATAGAGACCTGAATGCCATTTACTAACCTTGGACAATTTATTTAACCTTTCTGAGACTCAGTTTCCTTGGTTCTTAAGGGGAAGTAGTCCCAGAGGTGAGATGATAAACATTACAAGGTGAACAATTCTGGGATCAATATGGAAGCCACTAAGAATCCAGGCCCACCCTTGGGGCCACAGGAAGGATGCGAGAACTACCCAGCCTTTTAGTTCTCTAGTATTTTACTGTTATAAAGTAATATTTCTTCATTCAGCCCACATTTATTGACTTCTTGCTAATATTTTGAGAAATAACACTTTTAATCGTGGTGCTTGGAAATCTTTCTAAAATGTATGACACCATCCTGTTACGTTAGCTTCACAAACCAGGGGACAGAGATCAAGTTGCTCCTCATATATCTTTCTGCACATGACATGAAATGGCATCACTTCGTATTTTTTTGTCTTATGTAATCAGACATCTGGGACTGTCTTCGTAACTCAGTTTTTCTTTGCACAAACCTCTGCTGCTGCTTTCAGTATTTCCTTCTTGATTTCTTGAGTTCCCTCATTTTAGCTTCCGTTCTTTTCTACTTATTAAAATGTTTGTTTCTTCTTTTAGTACTTTCTCCTTTTATTTCTTATTTTTCCATCTTGTTTGGGTATTCTTTTTCCTCTTCAAGCCTACGTGTGCAGTGCAGTGTTTATGCTGTATGGTGATATACACATTTCTAAAAAAATCTTCAAGTTCTGCAAAATCACTCAAGGCTAATGAGGCTGGGAAAGACTACTCAAACTATGTAACCTTGTAACCAGAACTTCAAGAAAAACAATAATAATCCTAATAAAGTCGGCACAATTAAAAAGACATTGAGTTCTCATTAAAGGAATATTACAGTAAATATAAGAATTTTCCTTTAAAAAAAAAAAGTAAAAGGAGAAGGTAGCTGGATGGGACTGTGAAGAAAGGTTGTTTAACTGAAAAAATTATAATATTGTTTAATTGGGAGAATAAGCTCCAAATTCCCAATCTATAAATGGACTATTGGAGTATATTTCTCCACTATATTGTATATTAAGGATATAATAGGGATGACTGTTTATATGTTAGTATTTCAGTCCTCTAATATTTTACTGTTATAAAATAATATTTCTTCATTCAGCCCACATTTATTGGCTTCTTGCTAATGTTTTGAGAAATAACACTTTTCATCATTCTGCTCGGAAATCTTTCTAAAATGTATGACGCCATCCTGTGTGTACATAATTTAACTCAAGTTTACTGACTTGGTCAACAAGATGAGCATCCTTCACACAAAGACGTCCTCAGGGATATTTGGCCCTGCACTAAATCGCCTGCCTACGTGACTTTCTTGGTTTCGTTGCACATTTCCTTGAAAAGAAAAAGTGAATAGAAGTCGCATATACTCAAATCATGAATCCTGCTTTCATGCCAGTTACTATAGCAGTCTCTGAAGTTTTTAAATTAAAGTTACTTCTGAGTGGCTTGTGAAGTCTGAATTTGATTGAAATGTCATCCTTGGCACAGCACTTTCCATAAGCCATTTTAAAAACGTGGTTGAAACAAATGTTTACTTTGTAATGTTCAAAGAGGAACTGAAGCCTGTGTAAAATAAAAACAAACTCTACCCTTTGCTCAGGGGTTCCTCCTTATTTCTCAAACCTTATTGCAGGCTGCCCTGGTATTTCTTACCCCATTTGTATAGTAAATGTAGTTACGTGAATGAACTGATTCACACATATTTGGTTTCCAGTTTCGTTTTGGGCAATGGTTATAAAACTTCCAGTACATGAATCCACTCTGTCCCCTGTCATCACTAATGCCTTCTGGTCCCACTTAGGACAGTAAAACACCCTCTTTCTGGGAGCAGGTCTGTAATTTCAGTCTGTTCTTAATTACCTAGTTCTGCTGCTGGAAAGCTGAGACTGGATGTAAGAGCATGTCAGAGATGATCTATCTTTCAGGGAAATTCACTTCCCAAGAAGTTCGTCTCTGACAGAGCATTGCCCAGTAATCAGAAGTGTCATACCCTAAAGGATCCTTTCAACAGCTCTAACTAGCCTGTTGCTGAGCCTTGGTTTTGTCTGTTTTCAAAAGGGGACATAAAACTTGACCCTGCACCTCATTGAAGATTTAATGAGAAAAGATGTATGAAAGCACTGTGTAACCTATAAAACATTAATACATGGAATAACAGCCAAAAGCTGAGCACCTATTAGGAACCAAGAACGGTAATGATGCTTTTTATCTATTATAGCATCTATCTAACCATCTCTTAACACTCAGAAAATCCCTCCAAGGTTGGAATTATGATACCAAGTACATTACTGAGGAGACTGAGGTTCAGAGAGTTGCCAGAGTCCGACAGCTAGAAAGTTAAGTCAGTTTGGCTTCAAAGCCCAGGCTCTTTTCTCACAAATCCTTCACCAGGTATAAGCTCTTGTTTTCCTCCCTACTCAGAATGAAAGTAAGAGCAGTGTTTAAAGCTCTTAAGCAATAGCAGATGGGGTGACAGAAGTAAAAACCCCTGAATAATCTGCTACTTCAGTCAGAATCGACTCAACAGCAATGGGTTTGATGGGGGCCCCGGTGGTGCAGTGGTTAAGAGTTACGGCTGCTACACACAATACAGGGGAAGCCAGCACAACTGGACTAAACCAAAAGCTAAGAAGTTTCCTGAATACAACCAAACACTTTGAGGGACAGAGTAGCAGGGGTAGGGGTCTGGGGACCACGATTTCAGGGGACATCTAGGTCAATAGGCATAACAAAGTTTTTTAAGAAAATATTCTGCATCCCGTTTTGGTGAGTGGTGTCTGGGGTCTTAAAAGCTAGCTAGCGGCCATCTAAGATGCATCAATTTGTCCCAGCCCACCTGGAGTAAGGGAGAATGAAGAACACCAAAGACACAAGGAAAAGATTAGCCCAAGAGACAGAAAGGGCCACATAAACCAGAGACTCCATCAGCCTGAGACCAGAAGAACTAGATGGTTCCCAGCTACCACCAATGACCGCCCTGGCAGGGAACACAACAGAGAGTCCCTGAAGAGCAGGAGAAAAGTGGGGTGCAGAACTCAAATTCTAGTAAAAGATCAGACTTAATGGTTTGACTGAGACTGGAGGGACCCTGGAAGACATGGCCCCCAGACTCTCTGTTAGCCTAGAACTGAAACCATTCCCAAAACCAACTCTTCAGACAAAGATTAGACTGGACTATGGAACATAAAATGATACTCTGAAGAGTGTGCTTCTTAGCTCAAGTAGATACATGAGACTAAATGGGCAGCTCCTGTCCGGAGGTGAGATGAGAACGCAGAGAGGGTCAGGAGCTGGTTTAATGGCCATAGAAAATCTGGGGTGGAAAGGAGGAGCGTGCTGTCACATTATAGGGAGAGCAACTATGGTCCCATAACAATGTGTGCATAAATTTTTGTATGAGAAACTAACTCAAACTGTAAACTTAATGCACAATTTTAAAAAAAAAAGTTAGGGCTGCTAACCAAAAAGGTTGGCAGTTTGAATCCACCAGCTGCTCTTTGGAAACCCTATGGGGCAATTCCATTCTGTCCTATAGGGTTGCTGTGAGTTGGAATCGTTTCGGTGGTAACGGTTTTGGTTTTGGTTTTGGTTTTCAGCAAAGTTGACTGAGAAGCACTCAGACTGTCTATAACCTATGTTTACATTCTGGAACAGACCCTGGGCCATCTCATCTTTGGACTCTACAGTATTTTTTGGTAGTTTTGCTATGTAATGGAGGGAAATTAAGATGTTTAAGGCATGAGAGTAGTATAATACTGCATTCTGGAGATAGCCAGAGACCCAATATTCTTTACCGAAGTTCTATCTTGGTCATGTTAACCTGGCTATACTAGGCCCAAGAAGGAGTCACTGAAGCTAAGCCCTGTCA